AGTCGGTTCATTCCTCCCAGCAGCTCAGTGGTCATCATCAACAGAAGAAGAAGGCAATACCAGCAACAACACCAACACCAACACCAACACCACCCACCAACACCAACATCAACATTGTCAACAACAACAACAACCAACAGTTTCACTACTTATCCAGAATCACCGTAAAACCATAAAACCCTATAAAATATTCCACTTGGATTGTTTTCACACTCATATCCACCGTGTAAAGGTTGTATAACCATCTTGTATTGATTTACATACTGATCTAGGTCTGATAGAGACTACTACATATAAGTTTTCTCCATCATAAAGTTACGCCACAACAATAAATTAAATTATTGTCAGAATTCTTGTGTAGTAAATAGAGGGGCAGGTCTTTCAAACCACCCGTAACAGTAAATATTATCTAGTGAAATATCATTATTGTTATTTCCCCCTCAAGGACTGCCAACCCATCCCAAAGGAGTTCTCACACCGGGCGGTGTCCGTTCGAGTCCGAGTACGTCCGTTCGAGTCCGAGTACGACCCGACGTTTGAAGGGTGAAGCGACAAGGGTGGGGGGTCGCCAGATTAAGTATCCAGCGACGAAGCGGAGGGCAGCGGCCGGGAACGACGAGTGGGGGAGGCCGGACGGTGTCCGATCGATTCCGAGTCCGACCCGACGCCTGGTGAACAATGAAGCGACAAGGGGGGGGGTCGTCAGATTCGACACAGACGAAGCGGAGGGACGGGAACTTCAACGACGAGCGGGAACTTCAACGACGACTCACGAGTGGGGGAGGCCGGGCAATCTCTGTTTGAGTCCGAGTCCGACCCGACGATGGATGGGTGAAGCGACGAGGGGGGGGGTCGGTCGTCAGATTCGAGCCGAGGTGAGGACACCGACGATCGATGGGGGGGGGGTAGTGATGGGGTGGTGGGAATATGTAGGACTGGGAGTCGGACTGGAGGGGTGGTGGGGTGGGGTATTAGAATAGCAGTATCTGTATACCGTCGGAAATGAAGACCGACCCGGTCCCAAATAATGTGGGCGGGCCACAATACAGGATCGGGGAATCCTTGGATTGGCTTGGGCGATACCGATACCAAGTTCCCACGCGGCTCGTATCGGATCGCCCCAGCTGATCCCAATCATCTGATAAATCGGGATTGGATCGGAAAAACGATCCGATCCCGATACACGGTATTGGGGTACATTTCGATCCGATCCCCAATAAATACCGATCCGGGGATCGGATCGGTTACATCGTTGATTGGACACTCTATCTCCTTGCAAATAAAAATGCATTGGTCAGATAATTTTTTTTCATTGGGGTTCTGATACATGGAGTGATACATGGCTGATACATGGCAGATATCGTATCGTTTCACCGTTCATACCACCTATTGTTGTTCTCACTATGAAAAGCCTGGATGCTTGTTCACTCTGATGGGTTCATGGGGGCTATCATGAGCGCTCAATCTGAACAAGCGCCTTCCCCTCATAGTTACCTGTAAATTGACTCACAAGGGGTATATGTACAGTGGGTGGACCGTTGTTTTTGGCTGCTTGTTTTGGATCCCAGAGCTTCAAAGCACCGGATTAAAGTCATGAGACTTGGTCAAGTGGTGCAGAATAGCTTGCAAAAAATGAATATGAAAAAATAAAAACAAAAAACAAAGTTTCAAATTTTGTGAAAAATAAAAAATAAAATTGATTTTTTTTTTCAAAAAGGTTTGATATTCATTTTGGGGAAGTGTGAGTGCAGAGAGAAAGAAAGAACGGAAAATGGAAAGAATGATTATAAATGAAAATTTTGGAAAAAGTGGTTACCAGATAGTTTTAACCAGTTGTTGAGTGGGGCATTCACCAGCTCACATTGCAGTAAAGCACTAGAATTTACTGTTTTGACTCCAATCTGGACTACCACCCTGAGGCTCAACCTTTTTTGGTTCCAATTTTTTTCATTTATAATCATTCTTGCCATGTTCCACTCTTTGTTTCTCTCAGCACTCCCATTCCCCCAAAATGAATAACAAAGCTTTTGGAAAAAAACATTCTTATTTTTTATTTTTCGCAAAAGTTAAAACTTTGTTTTTTGTTTTTATTTTTTCATATTCATTTTCTGGGACCTATTCTGCACCACTTCACCAAGTCTTGTGACTCAAAGTTTGTGCTTTGCAGCTGTAGAATCCAAAACAGGCAGCCAAAAATAATGGTCCACCCACTGTACATACACAGCCGAATAGAATCTTTCAAGAAACTGTGATCTTTGGATCCTTCTGACAAGTTTACATAAATGCCGACCCACATTACATAATCACTTGGTGTGGTCTCCCCCCGTTTGACCGAGTCTCCCGCCCCGAGCCCCGTCTGTCGGACTGGTTGTGTGTGTCATGTGAAGAGAGAGGGAGACGGTCAACAAGAACAACACACATCAACAACGACGAAGACGAAGACAAAGACGAAGGACGACGACGAGAACGCTGGTTTCAAGTAACGAAACACATAACTACAACGAACGAGCTCGCAGGAAGATGGATCGAAGCAAGTCTCGTTCGAGTAAGCAATCAAAAACAACTCATACCCTCCAAGTTCAATCCAACTATGCACGATGTACTGACTTCTCTGCACTCTTCTCATTCAGTCTCACCTTTTGGCAGTAACAGCCCATCCAAGTCAAAACCATTCCACACTCAGACCATTCTCTCCAAGTCAGCCGGCGTACCTAGCAGTGGCGCATTTGCCCACCTCCCAGAAAGACCCACAGGAGACTCAGCAACGGACTTCACACCAGCTCAAAAACTACCACATTCCTCTCAGGACTCAGGCTCCAATCTATCGGACTATCCTCAACCAATCGCCTCATCGACCGCCTCTTCTCCATCTAAGAAGTTTCCAATCAAATCTAGTCCCAAGAACAACAACAACAGCAACATCAACTCACTTAAGCCTCATCATCATTCCCCCGCCCCTAAGTCTCGTCCCACCTCATCATCCTCCAGATTCTCTCGTCAGAACGCCAGAGAGGCTGATGTGCTTGGCAAGATCTTGGGCTGGCGACAATCTAAAACATTGAGGGCATCCAATTCATTCAAATCATCTCCCCTTCATCAAACCAACAAACACCCTCACTCCTCTTCCAAGCACCTCATCAGATCAACTCCTCCACAAGAACTGCCCGAAATCTTTCGTCCATCCAACACCCACGCTCTCTCTTCAGCATTGAACACATCTCAAGATTCAACATCGGAGAAACCGTCGTCGGGCGATGTCACCCAACCCCACGATTTTCTGACCGATACTAATTATCAAACTGCCTCCAGACCTTATTTTCATCAACAATCCTCCTCTGACCTAACCTCTTCAACTCATGCTTCGTCTAACCTTTCCTCTTCAGTCACTCATGCCAATTCCTCTCAAACTTCATTCAACCAACCCTCCCCATCTCCTACCCAACCCGTTCAACTGCAGCCCAACCCTGATGGCCTTCCTCGGCATTCTCAACACCAATCATCCGGTGAGAGTAAGCTAACTGTCCTACGACGTCCAATCCTCAAGAAAAGCTTTAGCTCTGGCCAACTCAACCATCATTTCAACTCCTCTCATGACCCTTCTAAACCTACCTCACAACCTTCATCTTTCTCTCGCCTTTCTCAATCCACCGAACTATCATCACGCGACCCCCACCCATGTCTTTCCGGACTATCCATCAATCCCCCAGAAGCTCTGGATCCGCCCATTTCATTTGCCAGCCCCCATGGGATCGAGGGGTTATCCTCAGCATCACTCAGCCAACTCAACAAGCCGCGTTACATATCCCAGTACTCCCATCAAAGGCTTTCTCTACCTGCTATGCACGCCATCCTCGACGCTAATTCATCCCTTGCTCAAACCATTCAACTCGATCAGGCCTGCTCAGATGACAGCGATCATTCGGTTCAACCCATCGGCACCCTGCTCAAACATCCCACCATGCATGGCGTCGCTTCAAACGAATCTATTCGGACTGCCAAGCCCAGCACGGAGTTCAACTCTCTCAAGTCGCTCTCCGGATTTCTTCCTCTTGCTGATCATCAACCCTCACCTGGAGCCGACCACCATGACAATAACATACCGTCTTCCGACCACCATGGGCTACGGTCTTCTGACCTGCAGGATTCTACGTCATCTGCTCGTCCCCGTCGATTTCAGAACCCAAGGGTTTTTGATATTTTTACTCATACCCATCGCCGAGACCCCGTCGATCTCATGCGTCGACTTCTATCTCCTGAGCTTACCGGGTCGTCTACCCCATCTGAAACTTCCTCGAACCCGTCCCATTCTCAATCTCTGGGTGTTTCTATCAATTCTTCTCTGAACTCCTCCAATCTGCTCGGCAGTTTTGCTAATTTCAATTCACCTTTCAACAAGGATCCAAGATTTGTTATCTGGGCCGAGAGCCCGTCCAGTGCGCCCCGTCAGCAATCACCAGCAAACGTGTACCCAGCATCCCGAAAGCGTTCTTCGGCAACCGTTGAAACTCGTCATTACCCTCATCATCCCGCCTCTGCTAGCACTTCCAATCTCGGGATTGATCATTCCACGGGCCGCTTAACACACGCCCTTAATCCAACTTCGGTCGCTTTCACCTCACCATCCAGTCCGAGCATTCCCAAAAGATGGAGTCGATCCGCAAGAACTCCGACCAGCCATCACTCCAACATTGACTCACTCTCAAATTCGTCCCCTAATCTATTGACAGATGTTCGTCATCCTCACGATGACAGCGGCCACCGAAGATCTCGAGAGGAGCTTTCTCAACTTCATTCGACCATCTCCCACGGCGAAGAACATACCCCGAAACTCGGTAATGATCGGATTCTCATGGCGGCCACAATTGAGCGTTGGGTTGCCGAACTGACGACCCACATTGACTCTCTGGGTCTGGTAGAATTTTTCTACACTTACCGGGCAATCATCAAACCGACGGAACTCGCACAATTACTTGCTTCCAGATTCGAATGGTCGATCATGTTCAGAAGTTTAAGTTATGCAAAAACTCTTCCCGATTGGAACTTGCACAGTGTCTTGGTTGATCCTAACTTGGAGAAGGGGATCCTGGGCCTCGACGGGAGACTGATCTCAGTAGATCTCCAGGGTGAAACACTCAGAAGGGTGGCCAAAGTTAGGACTTTTGTGATGATCCGTCACTGGCTCCTTCATCACTTTGAGGATGATTTCTTAACCGACGTTTCTCTACAAACTGAACTACACAACTGGGTCGAAAATCTGATTGAAAAGATTAAGCGCGTTCAACGTATCATCAGTCGGCTCGATAATCGTACTCCTTCGGATGCCGAGGAGTCTAACCACCATCACCCCACAACACCATCACCATTTAGTGGAGAGGACGACTTGAGGATCTTAAAGAGTCTGAGGAAAGTTTTGAAAGAGCTCCAATTAACTCATCATCAATCGTTTAACGTGGCTGTTCGACCTGGTTCCACCCCCATTGATCAACTGGATGACGACGATAAACAAGGCCGTTTGAATCGTAAATCAACCAAAGTGGATGTCAGAGACTTGTTTGCGGAGTCAGACAAACGGAATGACCAGACTTCAGCCAGACGTAATCGCAGATCACACACCGCTGATCTCACTGATCTTCAACGCTCTTCACCCAAAGTCGATATTGGTCACGGAAGAGCTCACTCGATTAACACTTTGGTGCAAGTTCGCGCGTCTAACTTTGCCCGAAGCGATCTGAGACTCTGTGAGGCTGATCACGTGAGTATTTTTAGCATTCCCGCATGTTGTTTCGAATCCCAGGTATGTGGGAAATTTTATTGATAACCTCCATTTTTCCATTTTTTCCATTATTTTTTTCCCTCTTGCGACAAGAAGAACGCGACCAACTCACCGGAGGTATTACAAGAAGAGGAGAACCCTCGAGCCTCGACTGAAGACGTGGACTTGTCGAAGTCTGACGAAAAACTGATTTTGAAACTCAAACAAGTCTTTCAATTTGACACTAGACGAGCTCGTGAAGGTGTCTATCATCAGATTATCTCGAAGGAGATTGATTCAGATCCATCCCGCCACTCCCTTCACCAAGCAAACATCACATTACCAAAACAGCATCCGCATCAAATGATGATTTCTCGTATGAGACCCCCCGAGAGCACATCAGACTTACCTAAGTCACATAATGCTGCCCAACCCAGGCTGAATCTTTCTAATCACACACCCGCTCCGTTCAATCAGGGGAGTTTAACCTTCCCGCAACACCACAATCCTTTTCAGCGTTATTTTACCTCTACCATGGGCACGTTTGGCCGATTCAAGCGGATGATCAATAATCGTTCTGGTCCGCATTTGGCCTCCAATGCGGCTATTACCAGCAATCATTACACTGGAGTAGCTTCTGGAGTTGATTCGTTCTCCTCTTCCCTAACCAGAGAAACTGGCTCCCAACAGGATCCACAACAAAACGAGGTTGGCGATCTCTTATGTGCCAAAGGTGGCTTGGAGAGGTACCTAAACTTCTTCGAGATCCAGAAAGATTCTTCGATCAGTTCCTACCAGGAAAATCTCACCAAAGAGCCCATCCAGGTGGATTGCAATGGTCTGTCGAAGCCTAAAGAGCCCGCCAACACCGATTCGGGACCCGAAAGCATGGTCGAAGTAGACCAATCATCGGGCTCCCCTGTGGTCCAATACGACGATTGTTCCGAAAGTCAATTGTCTTTGTCGTCCTCATTGTCCAATACCACTTGTTCAACCCAGTCAATGCATTCTGAATCTGGAGGGGAGCCCAAGACCGAAGCTTCTACTGCTGATCTCGTCGTGGTAAGTGAGAATCCAGATTATTGGTCTCCTACTTCAGCACCATATTCATCATCTTTATCCTCCCTCAGGTGTCACCCGACGTATCCGGAGAACAGCACATGATCACCAAATCTACCCCTGCCCGCGATGAACATCTGTTGCACGGATCGATGAGTACTGAGACCATCAAATCTGAAGCTCATCATCTCGCTCTTGCCGGTGGAGGAATGGACCTTCTCAAGAAGCAGTTGAGGAAGAAGTTCACAAACAAGGATATGTGTCCGGTCCTCATGCGGGCCTCGATGGATGAATCCTTTTCTGGCACTGTACCGGAGCATTCAAACTCATTCACCAGACACTCTGAGGACAGTCCACGACTAAACGCTTTTTCACTCAGTGTTTCTGCTCCAAATGGAGAGAAAGACCTCAGTGAACGTCCGACGAGCGTCCAATTAGATGATATCGATCTTCTTGACAGCGATGAAGACTCCCCAGTTGGTGTACAAAAACTTAGACGATTACCCGGAGCGGTTGACTTGAAGCAGGCCATTGCTTTTGGTCGGAAGTCACTATTCAATCTGAAAGGTGGTTTATTGAAAGGTAACGATGATCGCTCAAAAAGGTTTTCAACTGAGACGAGTTCGTCGATTGGCACCAGACGTGTCCCCTCGATCGCAGCATCGATGTTCAGACGGAGCAAACTCTCTCACAGATCTTCTATCCCTAACAGCACTACACCTTCTCTTGCTCCATCGGCTCAAGAGTCCAGCTTGAGCGAACAGAATGAAGCTGACAGTGGGACGCCGGGGGTGGTTGCGAATTTTGTTGCCGATGGACTTGAAAGTGATGATGACGAGCCGGGAGATGTTGAAGCAGCATTGCGTCGACTGGAGGGAGTGATCGATGCCGACAGGGAGAAGGAGAAGGCCCGGAAGGTAGAATTGCAAATGATCAAGTCGATGGAAGCCTCTCGACGAACCAGAACGTTCTCTCATCCTACCTCTGACGATCGATGTAGCTACAATTCTCAGACTGATGAGGCTGATGAACTCGAAACATGCTCTGAATCTGCCGAAGATGACGAAGCATCAGAAGAGAGTGACGAGGATGTGCTAGACGCTCATAACAATGAAGCCGAGGGTGAGGACGAGGACGAGCGAGATGAACAGCAAGACCGGGAAGAACAGGTGGAACATGAGGATGGTGAAGAGGATGACGTCAATGAAGAGAAAGCAGTCCAGCTTCAGGAGTCAACGTGTAGTAGTGAACCCACCAGAAAATCGATGAGTATATTGCTCGAACGGTCTGCATTGAATTCACCAATAGCCGAAGGAGATGAAGAAGAGGCAGATACTCAACCCATCCCAGCACCTAATCTCTCACCTACCATGCCAGGGAGCATTGAATACTCCAACCCATCCACTGCAAATTTCGCAGAAGCAAGTTTGGCTTCATCCAAACCACCCGTTTTGACCACTCAAAATCATGCACCGGCTTCCAAGCCAGGCATAAGATTTTTTACAGCACATTCGAAGGGCACATCGTTAGACGACATCGGACTGGCGACTAATCACTCGGAGGATCATGTCAAGACACTCAGAGGAAATGGGAAGAGGCTCGCAACACGCAGCCAACAAGTGATGACTCGCAAAAGTTCGCTGCACAAGTTGTTTTCAGCCAATAATAATCCCCCCAAGTCAAGTAGTCAGCTCAAACCAAAGGGGATCGCCAGCGGGTCGATCCCACCACTCCCACCACCACCATACAATTCGACGACTGGTAAACCGGCGATTATCCACAGTTTACCGCTACCGCCAGTTCATCGTTCCTTCTTATTAGATTGTCGGACCGAAATCCTTGCCCAACAGTTCTGTTTGATCGAGCGAGATCTCTTGAGAAATATCACCTGGCAAGAACTCTTATTAAGCAAATGGCAAGAAGACCGAAGTAGTTCTCACCACCATGGTTATCTGAATGGGGGGACTGGCCAAAGAGGGACGCGAAAGAAGAAGGGCGTACCCGCAGAGGATTCTGTGACGTGTTGGGAGACGTTCATGAAGCAAAGGGCCAAGGAGAAAATGCGGATCAAAGGCCGAATCCAAAGCAACCAGAATTTTGCCACCTCATCTTCAAACCGCTTGATGGACGTCCCTGCTCAAAAACTTGACGGGACTGAAATTAACGCTCTCATCATGAGGTTCAACTTGACTTGTAACTGGGTCGCTTCGGAGTTGGTCCTCACTTTAAATCTCGATGAACGCGTCGCTCTCTTGGGTAAATTCATCAGATTGGCATTTGTAAGCTTCTCTTATCTTGATCACAAGGAGGCTAGGACCTCTTTGTCTCCCATCGCTGATCTGAAGTGCGAATTACTGTTCTTTTTTCTTTAATTAGAAATGTTATCGACAGAATAACTTCCAAACCTTGACGCAAATTATCCATGGCCTACAGACGCCGTATGTGGAGAGGTTGAAGAAGACCTGGTCAAAGCTAGGGATATGGGAGTCGCGAATGTTCCGAGACCTGAAGGAGTTCACGTCGCATCTGTCTAACTTCAAGTCTTTGCGGAACGTCCAGGACAGTCTGATCAACGACTCTCCCAGCACTCTTTCTTCTTCCAGTGCCACCCAAACGACTACTTCAACCTCCACTCAGCATAGTATTAATTCCCCCAATACTTCTGCTGGCAATCTCCCTGGCAATGTCTCGGCTCACTTCCTCCATTCTTCCGAGGCCCCTGCAAGTTCCAACATCCGCACCAGTCACAATTATAATCGTTCCTCAAACTCGAACAACGCTTGCATTCCATTCTTGGGTGAGTCAACTCCCGGGCTCCTTTTTTTTTATCCCTCAATCAACGTAGCGAAAGGAAATCGCTAATGACACCCTGTGCCGATATTCTTCTATAGGACTCTACTTACGAGATCTAACGGTGAATGATGAGTTACCAACCTACTTAGATCCGACTGATCCCAGCATCCCGGTCGAGATTGACCCGAAGACGGGCAAGTTAAAGACGCTATCGAACCCGAAAGTGTTTGAGGATCTACCCAGACTACCAACGATAGGAGAACCAGTCAAGTCTTCGAGCGATGAACCTGATCGACCGCTCCCCAAACAAGAGGATGACGATATCGATTCGACGGAACATGGATATTACCCCTTGGTGAATATCAATAAACTTAGGACTTACGCCAAAATCATCCTCAAAATCAAGGAGTTTCAGACCCGTTCTATCCGCAATTACACCTTCGAAACAGATTCCAAATGGTTCCTCACTTGCTTGAAAATCAAGTGTTTGAGCTCCGAACAACTCCGGCTGCTCTCCAAGACTTGCGAACCCTAATTACAAATTTCACGAATCTCTCTCTCTTTCTTACTGCTTTACACTTAATGTTTGTTTGTTTCGAAGTCATTCACTCCAATCTTTTCCTTTTCTCTTCTGTTTTTGATTAGTCGGTTGAGTATTTTGTTGTTGTTGTTGTCTATAATTACTTGATTTTAATCCTGATGTCTCTATAACCAACTCACCCTCTCAGTGTGTATGTATTTGTACTGTTTGACATGTACATCTCTTTCTCTCTTTCACCTTCACTCTCTTTCTCTTCCAACTATAGACTTTCTCTTCATTCCATTCCATTTTTGGTTTTGTTTTTGGTTTGTGCTTTTCTCTTCCCTTCCTTCTTTGCTCTTTTCTTTTGTCACAAACATAATACTTCATTCCAAACACACATACATCATCATCATCAACAACAACAACCAAATTGCTATAATATAATACTCTTCCTTTATTCATGGTTTCTTGAATCAGATATTTATTTATTCAAAAAATTATCCTGATTTCTTGATCTTGTCAAGATTGTGTGTGTGTGTGTCGGGGAGAAGGGGTGTTTTCAATCCTACGCAGGAGGCCTTGGACAGAAACTGTTCGATTGGGTTATTGTTTGGATCTGAATCTCCTGAGTAATTGGAGTACTCTTTTGGGAGAGATTATTAAGTTAAAGTAGATCTGAGAACTTCTTTGGGGATGAGTTTGTGATTGAAGTGGTGTTTGTGATTATCAAGAACTCTAGCCAAGCAAGACTGCTTGAAGGTGGTGGTGATATCTCAACTTCCTCTTCAAAAGTCCTTCAACTCATCTCCAACACCCCTCCACAACAACTGGATACAACCAACCAAAATAACAAACAAAAACAAAAACAAACGAAAGAAAGAACGAACGAACGAACGAACGAACAAACCAGCCAATCTCATCCAGAAAACCACTCGAGAAAGTATGGACGTCATGGACGGCAAACTACTCTCCGAGGCTCTGGCCACCGTCAAGATCCAACTGGTCCAAATGAAACGATCACTCGTAAGCAAAAACCGATGTATTTCTCACTGCCTTCACGCATACATACACTGACCATCCATCGCCGATCATCACAGGATGCCGACCAGCTCATGGATGCATTGAAGAGTGCCAGCTCGATGTTGGCCGAACTCAGGACTAGCAGTTTAAGCCCAAAACAGTACTACGAACTATGTCAGTTTGGTCTCTCGATCATATAAAAAAATATGTATAACATCCTGATCAAAAAAAAACTCTTCTTTCTGTCCAGCAGACATGGCGGTATTCGATGCTCTCCGCCATTTATCGGCCTATCTCTACGACGCACACATCTCAGGAAAACACCATCTGGCAGACCTCTACGAATTAGTCCAGTATGCTGGAAATATCGTTCCTCGATTAGTAGGTTTACAGGCACCTCAAAAACAAACCTGTTGAGATTGGGATGGTGCTGATCGGGATCCTCCTTAGTACTTGATGATAACAGTCGGGACGGTATATATGTCGATTCCTGATGCGCCGGTCAAGGAGATCATGAAAGATATGATGGAGATGACCCGCGGCGTTCAACATCCCACTCGAGGACTCTTCTTGCGACACTATCTGAGTGGCATGACTCGCGATCACCTCCCGATAGGCTTAGCTCCAGGGTGTGTACCCACCCTCTGAAAAAGTACCATAATCTAAAAACATTAGAACCCTTCCAAAAAAGACATTATTGACCACCACTTGACCGAGCCAGTCCTTCCGGCAACCTCCATGATTCACTAGGTTTCGTCCTCACCAACTTCATCGAGATGAATAAGCTCTGGGTTAGACTCCAACATCAAGGGCTCAGCAGAGATCGCGAGAAGAGGGAGATGGAACGTAAGGAACTAAGGATCCTCGTCGGTACCAACCTCGTCAGATTGAGTCAGTTGGATGGTGTCGATCTCGATATGTATCAGGGAATGATTCTCCCGGCCGTCTTGGAACAGGTAGTCAATTGTAAAGACACTATTGCTCAGGAGTATCTGATGGAGGTGGTTATACAGGTTAGGCAATGCTGTACTTCGCCGATCCGGTATGTAGGTGAATCTAGACTAATGGACTTTTGGTCGTTGAATAGGTTTTCACAGACGATTTTCATCTACGGACACTGGGACCGTTCCTATCAGCCACCGCGCAACTGCATCCAAAAGTGAACATCAAACAGATCGTGATCGCATTGATCGATCGACTGGCGGCCTATGCGGCCCGCGAGGCAGAAAACGAATCGCCTGAGGAAACTCGTCGGCAAGAGGAACTGGCGGCGCGTCGATTGGCGGCCAAGATCAAGGCTCAGAAGGAAGTTCGTTGGCAGACCATGCAACGCGAGGAAGCCCGAGCAAAATCTCAGCAAACCTCAAAGTTTTCTAATCCGGATTGGGCACCCACTGAGGAACAATCCGCCTTCAAAGACGTCAACGGTCATTCATCCTTTCCTACTCCCCCAAAACCTGAAGATGAACCTCAGGACCTCAGCTCTTCCTCAGTCACCTCCCCTCAACCCCCCGAAGCTGGACCAAGTAACCCAAACCAACCAGTTCGCAAGTTCCGTGGAATACCAGAAAACGTCCCATTATTCGAAGTATTTTGGCATCAAGTTGTTGAGCTGATCAGGGTCAGTGTCCAATATGCTGATTCGTCCGTTCATCGAACCATTTCTCTATTTCTCATAGTTTCTTCTTTCGTCTTACTTAGGCTCGACCAGATCTTTCTATCCAAGACGTTACGGCGTTGCTCGTCTCTCTAACCAACTTGGCTCTGAGTTGCTATCCTGATCGGTTGGAATATGTCGACCAAGTGTTGGGTTTTGCTAAGATGAAAGTCCAAGAGCATGCAGATAGTCCAGATCTCCACCATCCGGCGTCGATCCAAAATCTTCTAGCGCTCTTACTGGCGCCGATCAACTCGTACCTGACCGTGCTCACTCTACTGGCCTTACCGAACTTCCAAGAACTGTTACTGGTTCAGCCGTTCCTTTCGCGTCGGGCGATCGGCCACTCCGTCGTCGCCTCGATCTTGAAAAACGAAACTCATATTGCTGACCCAGTCGATTGTAAGGGTGTCCTGGATATGTGTCATGTCCTCGTCCGTGATCAGAGAGACGCCGGGGTGGGCATGCCCACTCAAATGGGCCATCGTCAGCTCATGGGATCTAGAGGTCAACAGACCTATGACCCTGAAGAAATGGCTGAAGAACAGGGCTGGCTGGCTCGGATGGTCCATCTATTACACAATGATGACCTGGATGTGCATGCTAAGGTGAGAGTCCCTTCTATCATTCAGCTAGAACACGAAGCAAGGAAAAAATGTGTTGAACCTTTTTGCTATAGCTTCTTCAAGAAGCCAGGAAAGCCTTTAGTGAGGGAGGAGATCGAATTCGATGGACATATCCACCCCTGGCGATTTGTGCGCTGAAGTTAGCCCAACGCTACCACTATCGACAACATTACAAAGCCGACTGGGACACGAAGATCACGGCGCTATTCAAGTGGATCCACCAGGTATTATCGGTGCTCTACAACCGGGTAGAATCGTCGGAGATCTGTCTGCGGTTATACTTACAAGCACTTCAGGCGGCCGATGCGGCAGGCCTCGAGGAGCTGGCGTACGAGTTTGCAGTGCAGGCGTTTACGATCTACGAAGAGTCGATCTCTGAGAGTCGGGCCCAATTACAAGCGATCGTCCTGATCATTGGGACTCTACAAGCCTCGCGAGTGTTTGGGCCGGATAACTATGACACGTTGATAACGAAAGCGGCCTTACACGGGGCCAAACTGCTCAAGAAGAGTCACCAAGCTACCGCCGTTGCTCTGGCTAGTCATCTCTGGTGGCAGACCGAGAAAGTCGGGCCGGAGACAGAGGACCCCGCTGGGCCCGAAAATAAGGAGCTCCTCAGAGACGGAAAAAGGGTCCTCGAATGTCTCCAGAAATCGCTTAGAATCGCCACTAGTAGTATCGATGAACTCACTAGCGTTCAGCTCTATTGTGACGCTTTAGATCAGTATATTTATTACTTCGAAAGACATAATGAAGCTGTAAGCGCCTTCTCCTCTCATTCTTTTTATACTATCGGTCAAGTCGAAGGATAGGGAGAATCTGATTCCAATTTTTCCGGATTTTTTTTGGTTACAACCCGCAGTCTCAACGAAACATTTAAACTCATTAGTGGAACTGATCACTGGATAGACCGATCAAGCGCGATGGGTCTGATCCCGACCCATCGACGATCATTCAGACTCTCGAAAGGCGTACATACGCCGAATCGGTCTCAAACACTTCAGAAATCAGCTCAAATACGTCCATGCCCGTAAGGAAATCATCCTCAATGGCGACGGCGAGGGGCTCGCTAAGTTCGAGGAAATCGATATCTCTGCTGGTTCGTCTCTTTTCTCCTTCCCTTTTATTCTTTCTTTCTTTTTTTTTCTTTGGAGGGGGGGATCTGGCTGATCTTGGCTTCCTTTTTCGGTTGCGGTTTTTGGTAGCTATGCTTAAGGTTGGCCTTCAACTCTAAAAGAAATCCTCAAAATTCAAAAACCCTCCTCTACCTCCCCCCATCCCCCACCCAAACTCCCCCATTTTTGTGTATTCCATTCCCCTTTTTTTCCCTTTTAATCATCATCCTCGACACACATCTTTAGAACAAGGATTTTCAACCACACAGACTCCATTTTTTTCATAACTGAAAAACAAACAATCATCATAAAATCAACAAGAGGATCACTTGTCACTGATACACTATTTATATACATATTTCATTCACTATCGCAACTCAAATAAGCGAAACAAATCCAAAACAAAGTCAAGAAACTTGGAGAACTTCTGAACGTTTTGTCTTCCTTCCATTATATATTCACATACATATTTATTCATTTGTTTCACATCTCAAGTGTTTCTTTTCTTCTGATTGGAATTCCTCAAAACAACCAACCAAACAAACCAAAAAGAAAACACAAGAAATCATGTTCCCGTTCCACCAAGACCTATTAATTACACTCCCACATCATTTATTGTTCTTTTTTTTTGGTCCCCCATATTTTTGTGTTCCTTTTTATCCTAGCTAGCAAGTTGATTTAATACTGTTGTTTTTTGTAGTAATTGGTTCTCGTAGTGATAATCAAAAAAAAGGAATCCTTGTGAGATGAAATATAAGATCTAGTTAAGCTTGAAAATTTACCATAACAACCATTGTTACAAGTTGAAGGATTACGTTTCTGAGGGGCATGAAAACCCACAATTGACCCATGGACTAGCTTAAAAGTGTAAATATAACAGAAAACCTACCAGGGGTTTTTGGGCCCTGGGGGAAGAACACTTCTTGAGTCAGCAGCCCCAATGAAAGCCTTGATAGAATTCAGCTTGAAACTTCAAGGAGTGATTGAAGGATCAAATCCTGAAGCAATCCATAGTGTTTGTGAATTGAATCTCATGGATCAACCAGATTTCTAGGACCCTATCTGGATTCATAGATTTTATCCATAAGGTCAATATATTGGATACCTTCCGATACATCTTCTCTACTTTGAGAACTTCTCAAGCTTTTCATTAAGAGCTTGAATAAGTTGCGGATATAATACTTTTCATGAGGAAGGCTGTCTTTTATCTTCCATATTATATTCCAAAAGATCAAGCTTTCTGATAGATACAAATTTTTCATTAACATGTCGAATTTTTCTGGATACTGATTTCCCTTAATTGGTTTCAAAGGACCATTGATTGGTTGATGTTCAAGTCAATTCAAAATCTGTTGAAATTCTGAACTCAGCGCGCAAGAGATAGAGGGCCAAAAAAGGAGGGTATCTTTTTTGGGAGTGGCTCTCGGAAAAGGAGTGTGTGAACCAATGGTTTTATTCACTTGCAGCTAGCCAGGATTAAATAGACTAGATACATGTGGTTAAAAAGTGGGGGTTGGAAAAACGACTCCCAAATTTTCGCCAACGACTCCCGTTTTGGTCGAGGGGTCGTCGGCTGGGAGTCGTTCTTCCAAAAGATGGCCGACTTTGGGAGTCGGCCATCAAATGTTTTTTTTTTGTTTTTTTAATTTATTTTTGGGGAGTCGGCGCCCCAAACCGCCCCTCATGCTTGAGGGGGTTTGGGAGTCGTCGCTCCCGCTCCCATGACCGGAAGGATTTCCTCCTTCCGGTCGACACCTTCCGTCGATGAGGTTGTTATACCTCATCGACCGGAAGGAATCCCTTCCGGTCGATGAGGGTGTTTTACCTCATCGACGGAAGGAATCCCTTCCGTCGATGAGGGTGCTTTACCTCATCGACGGAAGGAATCCCTTCCGTCAATGAGGGTGTTATACCTCATCGACGGAAGGAATCCCTTCCGTCGATGAGGGTGCTTTACCTCATCGACGGAAGGAATCCCTTCCGTCAATGAGGGTGTTATACCTCATCGACGGAAGGAATCCCTTCCGGCGCCGATGAGGTATAACAACCTCATCGACGATTCCTTCCGGTCGATGAGGGTGTTTTACCTCATCGACCGGAAGGAATCCTTTCCGGTCGATGAGACTTTTTTTGCGACGACTCCCAAACCCCCTTAAGCATGAGGGGCGGTTTGGGGCGCCAACTCCCCAAAAATAAATTAAAAAAATAAAAAAAAACATTTGATGGCCGACTCCCAAAGTCGGCCATCTTTTGGAAGAACGACTCCCAGCCGACGACCCCTCGACCAAAACGGGAGTCGTTGGCGAAAATTTGGGAGTCGTTTTTCCAACCCCCTAAAAAGTGGTTGAAGAAAAATGAATAAAAAAATGTTTTTGAATAAAAACTGAGAGAAGATAAAATGAGTTCTTGAAAATAACAAACCAGACAAAACATCTCATTCTCTTTTAGTTAAGCTAGATGGGTTAGTCAAGAGAAAACATTCTAAATCACAAATACTATGAGGTGTTAATTCATGGTAACCAGATTTTACTAAATCAAATAATGAGAATAGAAAAAGAAAGAGGTTCAATCATGAAGACAAGAGTTGTTGATAAGGTTGCTATTGTAAGTTCTAATTAGACTACTAAAATGCATAACATTCAACAGAGAACTAGCTATGAAGAACCATAATTCAGTCTACCTCAAGATGATTTTAATAAGGAGAAAGGGAGAGAATGAGAAGGAAAAATGATGGTGATTTTAGGAAAGAGTAGGCCAAGGAGGAGAAAACTCAACAAAATCTCACTCAACATTTGCTTTTGGAATTCAGTTAGATTTATCAGTAAACTTTTGAAATCCATGACAGAAAAGTTTCTCTCAATGATGAGCTTTGAATTTTCATGGGGTGGCATGTCCTGATCATTCTCTGTTGGTTCCAATAAATTTGGCTTATAAATATTCAAAGTTTCTGATAAAACATTAAATCTTTCAAGAGAAGCCTTTTGTTCCTTTGACTTCATAGTGCAATCAGGTGATCTTATGTTTAACCATAACATCATTTGGTACTCATGTAAATTTTCTATAAGAATGCCCAACTTTGCATCAAAAGATTCATCTAGTTTTGAATTGGATTAAGGTAACTCATCCCCCATTTTTTATTCAGAAGGTAGGGATGCAAGATCCATCATGTGCACAATGTTTTTTATTATGGCCTTGGAAAAACAACTCCCTCAGATTTGTCAATGACTCCCAATTACTATTGACGGACATCTGTTGGGAGTCATTCTTTGGCAGATCCATTGAATATGTTTGTCTGGACTCAGTCTCCTATCACTAATATACATTAAAAGAATAGTAACATGGTCAATAATGTTATTCCACCATGGTATGCAGACAATCTGTGTTTGCCCAGAAACACTTATATGCCATTTTTGAGTGGCTCAGTCTCACATTCACAACAAAACATAACTATTTGGATTGAATTTTAAGTTTACCAGACAGGTTTCAATTCCTTTTTTTTATTGCAGAATGTATTAACACTGATTCTGTTGTCCTAACAATAGCATTAGGTGTAGCATAACATAATTTCACTCACACATAATTTCACTCACACATAGTTCAGAACCACATAATTCTGCCAGATCTGTGCTCAGAGTCACACTATGCACACATGCTTCAAGAAGATGCCCAATTTTGGTGCTGTAGGGCCCCATGGCGTAGTAGAAAGATGCTGAGACTACAAAAATTGGGATCCAAAAAAAGCACTGCTAAACTGATGCTTTCTTGAAAAAGTGTAATCTCCCAATGCTAAATGTATTGCTGTAAAAAAGCATGCATTTTTATGCTGTTTTCTTGGTTTTCTTTGAACTTTTTTACCTCTTCTGATAGCCCTGAAAATAATTAAAAAGTGAAAAAAAATGAAACACAGAACATGGAACAAATTACCTGGGTAAGGGGGCTGATGGAAATGTGGCTTTGCATCAGAAATTCTGGCAGCTTGAAGCATAGAATGCTTGTATTTGTATCTTCTCATTCATCTTTTCCATCATCACATATTAATGCCAGAATTTCTCAAACAAATCTTTTAGGAAGATTTATAGTCTGGAATTCTCACCCAACATTCTCATCACACAAGAAATCAAACACCAAACATTGGAATTAAACCACCAAAAATAAACAAACAGACATTCAGAAATTGGAGAAAAAAAGTCATTTTAGGTTTGAAGAGTAGACAAAATTCCAGAAAACGCAAGAAAATTTAATGTGTTGCAACCCCCAGGTTAAAGAAAAACACTTACAGTCAATCATCAAATTCTATGTTGAAAACATCTGTAATTCCTTCCTTGATCTCCCACACCAGAGAAATGAATTTCTAATTCAAGGAAAGCTTTTATTTCCTACAGCATTCCGATCAATCAAAAACATCCCAGATTTGATCAAAATCATCCTAAATTGCTTACATTAGGAGACAAATATTTGATTGAGATCACAACCAAATAAATTATCCTATATTCCAAATGACAAGATTCATGCAAAGTGAAATACTTGAATGAAACATTTGATTACAGATGGCTTGGAAGCTATGAATGAGAAACTTGTGACCAAATTTGAAACATTGATCTGTCTAGAGAACGATTTTGTTGAAATTATCTTCATCTTTCTCTCTCTCTGCCCTTTTCCCTTTTCTAATCACCCTCAATCAGACTAGATTAATATTACCAAGTAGCAGGTCTTAGTTGTTTGCTGAGTGCCTACTGAGTCAAATTTGAACCACATAAGCTCAACTCACTATTCTTGTCTCTATGGTGATATTTTCTCTTTTTCCTGACTTGTTGTGTGTTATTAAAAAAATGATTAATGAGAATTAACGCCTCTTGTTATCTGTGATTTAAAACATTTTTTCTTGATTAACTCATCTGACCTTACTAAAGGAGAATGAGAAGTTTTGTATAGTTTGTTAGTTCCAAGAACTTGTTTTATCTTCTCTCAATTTTTATTCAAAATACTTTTTTCTTATTCATTTTTCTCAAACCACATTTTGATCACTTGTACCTAGTCTACTTAAGCTAGCCTACCTACAGTGAATAAAAATTATTGGTTCTTTCATTCATTTTCTGTGAACCTTTCCCCAAAAAAGGCC